GAGTGTGGTGGCCCACACCTGTAATCCCAGCACTTTGGGAGGTTGAGGTTGGCGGATCGCTTGAGCCCAGGAGTTCAAGACCAGCCTGGACAACATGGTGAAACCCTGTCTCTACCAAAGATACAAAAAGTTAGTTAGGCAGGGTAACGCCCATCTGTGGTCCCAGCTACTTGGGACCTGATGTGGCTGAGGTGGGAGGATTGCTTGAGCTTGGGGGCAGAGGTTGCAGTGAGCTCAGATTACGCCACAGCACTCCAGTCTGGGTGACAGAGTGAGACGCCATATCAAAATTTAAAAAGTCACCTGCAAGAAATTACTTTTTTTTTTTTAATTTAAAAAAGTGGGGTGGGTAGGAGGGAGGAATTAAGGTAACTTAACATCAAGTAACTACTAAATCGTGTTGAATATGTTCACCTTGTGCATGTGTTCATTCAAGCTCCAAATTCTGTAATAAAGTTCTAAAGCAGGACATGCCAATGTTTTAAAAATTACAGGTATGAACACAAAAATGTGTCACACTGACAAGAGAAGGGCAATCCATTTTGTTTGCAACAGAGCTTCATAAAGAACCTCATAAAGGAGGCCAAGCACAGAGGCTCATGCCTGTAATCCCAGCACTTTGGGAGGCTGAGGCAAGCGGATCACCTGAGGTCAGGAGTTCAAGACCAGCCTGACCAACATGGTGAAACCCTGTCTCTACAAAAATACAAAAATTTGCCAAGCATGATGGTGGCTGCCTGTAATCCCAGCTACTCGGGAGGCTGAGGCAGGAGAATCGCTTGAACCTGGGAGGTGGAGGTTGCAGTGAGCAGAGATCGTGCCATTGCACTCCAGCCTGGGTGACAGAGCAAGACTCCATCTCAAAAACAAACAACAACAAAAAAAACCACACACCACAAACACACACACACACACACACACACAACCCAAAAAAGAACCTCATAAAGGAGATAAGAACTAATAACATGTGATCTGTGTCAATGAAGAAAATGTTAAATACCATCACCAAAATGAAAAATACTTTATTCAGTTTTTTAAAAGTTAAATCACAAAGAACTGCTGAATTTCAGGCCAGAAAACAAAAATATCATCATGTATGTAGGCACCAAAAGTGTTGGGGATTCTTCATATATAGAATGTTTAACTAAAATGCTACGGTATTTGTAACAGACAAATATTTGATAACAACCAGGTATCTTTTTTTATTCTACACATGGGTAGCAGGGTGAAATTCAGTTCTGTGAAAGGAAAAAAGACACACTGAAATCTAAATCTAGTCTTGGCTATAACTCGGTTACGTGGATTTGGCCAATTCATTTAACCTCTTGTGCCACAGAATCTCCACCAATATTAGAGTATTGGATTAAACCATCTGCAAGGTACTTTCCAGTTCTATGTATCTGTGACTGTAAGTAAGATATAACCTAGGCCACATTTCGATATTAAGAAAAATTAGGTTTAGGAAACAGCACAAATAACTAGGACATAAGCTTATAAGCTCTGCTTTTCTCACTACCATTTCACTCAATGTACTTCTACCTCCACTTATGCGGTTATCTTAACTTGTTGAAAAGAAATATAAAGCATTCTTAAAAAAAAAAAAAAAAGAACAGGAAGGGTTAATGTCTCACTGACTTTCCTTATTGCATGATACCTCTCACCAACTAAACAATTTGTTGATAATTTCCAAGAGTGGTCTATCAGAAAATGCTACCAAGGCATCCACCACTGCTCATGCTACTATAGCAATAAGAGATTCTGAATGGCAGTTAGCTTAGCCTCCATTTACATTCTTCTATCTTTACCACTTGAAAAGGACAGAGAAAAACTAAAAGGACTCAGGAATGTTCCTCATGTACCTACCGACTTGCAGCTCAAACAACTTTTACTAAAACCCTCTAAAACAGTTAAACTGAAAGAGTATTAAGAACTTCAGTAAATCAAAAGACTGAAGACCATGCCAAATTCTGTCGATCTACAGGATCAAGTTAGTTAAAAAAGGAAACCATTATGACATTTCATCTCAGTCAAATACTTTAATCTAGACAGTGAATTTAATCTTCAATTACCCATTTTATGTTCTTTTATTATCGAGCTATGTCACTAAATTAGAATTTGGTCTCATCCATAAACTCATTTTGACTTGCTTCTCTCATTATTCCTAAGAAGTCAAAAAGAAAATGACTCAAAAACCCAGAGTGCATGTGTTTAAGTTATTAATGTAAAAATCACTGATAACTGACAATGCTGGTGTTCATCAGTAACTAAGGCACTATTTTAAGGACCTAAGATTTTTCCATAAAAAATCAGGTTTTTAAAGAGTGAAGCCAATTTTTAAAATTAAAATCACTTAACTAAAAAATACTATCTATACCAGTTATATTATTTGAGGAAATAATTTTGTATTTAAGACCAACCATGATGACAATTGTCCTTCCTGAACTAGCATACCTATGTCCAGAAAAGTAATGGTTTACACTTGTACTGAAGCAATTAGTAATATGGCTCTCCCTTTCACTCTCAAAAGTGTCCCAGTTTAGATAACTCATATGGTCTTAGTTATAATCAGCACTAAAGGGAACTTTTATTCGTCAATAAAACATGAAAATTGTAGTTAACACCCTTCTTCCTACAGTCAAGGGATATCAGAAGGGACCTTTTGTCATTCCAGAAAAAAATTTACAACATCAAACACAAATACCTCCTTTCTCCCAGGAAGTAACATGTTCACCATCATGGAAACACCATTAGCCTGTCAAATGTTTTAATAGCAACCCAACCTGTAGTTGCAAAATTATTGCAAGAAATTCACGAATCTATATAATGCACCAAGTGCTCTCTGCCTACAGATTATTTGTCTCACAAATATGTAGGTGCTATTATGACTAATGAGATTAAACTCTTGGATTGGGGGCTGGGCGCAGTGGCTCACACCTGTAATCCCTGCACTTGGGGAGGTTGAGGCAGGTGGATCACCTGAGATCAGGAGTTCGAGACCAGCTTGGCCAACATAGTGAAACTCCTTCTCCAGCAAAAATACAAAAGTTAGCCAGGCGTGGTGGCACATGCCTGTAATCCCAGCTACTTGGGAGGCTGAGGCAGGAGAATCGCTTGAACCCGGGAGGCGGAGGTTGCAGTGAGCCAAGATGGCGCGACTGCACCCCAGCCTGGGCGACAGAGCAAAACTTGTCCTGCCCTTCCCCCAAACCAAAAAAAACAAAAACCAAAAAAACCCACCTTAGGTTGGAGCATTAAAATATAAGAAAATCTAGAGCAAAAATACCAACTATATATTTCAGGAGAAAAACCACAAGTTCATAAATATATTCCCCCAAGTGAGGTGTATTTTAAAAATACCTCAATTGATAAAAAGAGAAATGAATTGCTGGATTATCTGGGAAACTTTCATGTTTGAGGTTGAGAAAAAAAAATGAAAGAAAAATAGACACAGAAGTGTTATTGCTTTCTTATATTGGACATCAGAATTTCAATTTATTACGTAAACTAGATACTTTCTGAAATCAATGGGCCATAGGTTTTGGAAATCTTTGTGTTAAAGAAAAACTTGTCCAGTTCCATGTAGTGGCACAAAATTCTAGGACCTCATTGGTTTGGGTTTGACAGAAGACTTTTTATTCTCTGATTGGTCATCCACTCTATTGTAAATGAAGAGAACAGGAGGCGGCTGGTTGGTGATTTGCTCTATTTCTGATCCACCATGGCCATGGAAAAATTAATGTACACATAATGTAATTCCATAAAGGCAGATGCCTCATTTGACCTACTATATTATTTAAGGTTCACTACATGTTCACTAACCTCAAAGATATCCAACCAGCCTAATATTTCCGGATCATTTCATTATTAAGCTATTTCTTAAAATAATTTCTGATTTTAAATTAAGTTTATCAAATTATATACAAAGAGCTATCTATTTAACATCTATCAACGAGCCCATCCAATTACAAGGCCTGCAAAATAGAACAATAAATATTTGTAAACATGCATAATAGCTGAAACAGGAATGTAACAGACAAAAAGGGGGGATTGCTGGATAATCTTTAAGCGTTAACAAAAGTTTTTGATGCAACATAACCTACAGACTTTTTTACTACAACCTTTCATTTTCATTGAATTTCCTATCTAATTAGACAGCAATCAAACCTAGAAGCATAATGTCACCAGGCCTGGGATAAAATGAGGGCTCTACCACTTACAGCTATTTAACTGAGGACAAATTACACTTAACCTCTTTGGGTTTTTGGTTTCCTCTTTAAAACAGTTAACATTCTCATAAGGCTTTGTTGTGAGGATTATAAAATAATGCATGTAAAGCACATGGCCTAGCATCACAGGCCTTCAGCAGAAGTTGGTTATGAATTTAGGCTAAGTATCCATCCCAGTTTGTCTGGGACAATCAAGGTTTGCACCTGTTGTCCAGGAATTATTAATGTTCCTTTTGTTCTTAAAAGTGTCTTGGTTAGGGCAATAAATTATGTGGTTACCCTAATGACAATGATAATAATAATGAAAGCAGTTAATACCAATTAAGAGTATCATGTATCAATTATGAATTTTTGATTCTTAAAGGAAAAAATCAACCACCAAAGTAATGTAAGATCATACTCTTGTAAGCTATTCTACTGATATTTCATTTAGTTATCCAATGAACATTTAAATGTTATTTTACTTATACTCATGCCATTCCAACAATGATATAAGACAACAAATTTTTTTTTTGTTCTATACAGGTATTAGTAAACCTCAGACATTAAAGAGTCAAATGCACAGATAAAGCACTGGTGAGTTCCAGGTATCCAGAAACATTACCCTTTTAATTCCCAGTGAAAAGTACCCATTCTTATCATGAAGAATACCCAACACCATCTAACATCTATCAATGAGCCCATCGAATTACAGGGCCTGCAAAATAGAACAATAAATATTTGTAAACATGCATTCTACACATAAATCAGGAGACGCAACAAAAAATAAATTACCTGACTGTTATGACATAGTATTGAAATACAATAAACTGGATTTTAGTTTTCTTCACACTCTGCTCTAGAAAAAAAAAGAATCCATTATTCTTCCTCTTTTAAAAGATACACATTTTCTTTGAATTAGACACAACCTAAAAAAAAAACAAAACAAAAAACAATACAGACACACCACAACCCAACCTCACTCAATGCTAGTATTAGGGCATTTGGTGAGAGCAAGAAGGTCAGAGGGGACCAGGAGTTAGATAAAACATGTCTTTTAAGACTGAGAGACAATTTACGTTTTATTATAAGCTTAAAATAGGCCTTTCTTATCATATCAGTAATTATTTTCAGATTCTGATAGTCACTTTCAAGAACTTATTGGGCACATTACACTAGCCTAAGGTAGGGACTAAAGTATTAAAATTCATCAGAACATCATGGGCTAAAAAAATCTTTGTAACATTTTTCAGTAAGTGGAGAGTGTCCTAAAATCAAGTTTTAAAAAGTGGATTGGTCTTTCTACCTACCTAAGCTATATTTTTACAGTTTAGAAAAGTCACGGGGAGGGGGAGGGGCTATAATTGTGCCAGTCTTCCAGGGAAGACACAATGTACCTAATGGGGTGATAAGTAGTTACTTTGTCTATAATCACAAAGAGTGAAAGAAATGATTAGTAGCAGTAGGTTTATTATTTCTTCCCCCTTTCAATCAGTCCAAAGCACTGCAGTTAATTCTGATTCAGGAAATGCGGGCTCCTTATTTCTGGCAAAAAAATCATTGTGGGGTCTTGCAAATGGTAGATGACAATCTGATATAACTGCTTCCTCTTGCCCCAAAATGAAAAAAAAATGACCTCAATAACAAGACTGCTAGGCCTCACATTCCCAGACTAACCTGTGGAATAAGTATGGTGAAACTGTCTAGGGAAGGAACGTGGCTGTCTCCTCCATCTTGAAATTAATCAGCATAAGGGAAAAAGGGACCGAGTATTCAGGAAGCAGAAGCCCAACCGGTTAATACTAGTTACTAAGCTATGGCGTGCGTGGCAGGTACCGCCTGCAGAAGCAGAGACCCCTTAGACCTTTTTTTTTTTTTTTTTAAACGGGGGAGGGATTGGGTTGTTGGTGGATTAAACAGAAATTAACTTGAAAATAATTTGGCCTAATTCCATCCCTTACCCAGGAGAAAACAACAAACACCTAACGGCTTTTCCCTCTCTTTTGCAGGGGATCCTTCCAGTGATACCTGGCAAAGGATATGCCAGGGTTATTCGAGCAAGACCACATTTGCCTCAGATCCTCAGGGAAGATGTCATCGCGGCCCCAGGGGGCGCCTAATTGGTAATACCCTGTAGAAGGGCACAAAACGAGGTTTTGCAAATCTGGGGAAATCTAAAGGCCCAGGAGTTCCCAGCATCTCACTTGGGGCAGCCTGATTTTTTACTTCCCTTTTCCCAAACCCAAGCCCGCCATGAAAAACGCGGGGAGGTCAGGGAAGCCGCCAGAGAACAGAGAAGAAAAAGCCTGAGACGCTCTAAGATTCTGATGCCTGAGGCCAAAACTCGAAAACCGCCTCCCCTGATTTCCTAAGGCTCGGGAGGGCCTGGGCTGCAGCTCGCGCGGCCACGGAGAGGAAGTACTACCCACCTTCTTCCCCTTCAAAGAGCCTGTCGACTATACCACTCAACTAAAATGGCAGCGGCGACTACGCCACGGAGCCCCCCGCAGCAACGGGCCTGGGGTCCGGAGGCGGCGCTGAGCCTCTGCCACGACGCGTCACTCGGGCCATTTTGAGAGAACGCGGCAGCCGCGGCTCCGCTGTCTTCCTCTCGCTCTACATCCATTTCTCACAGGATTCTCAAGTCTTCACTTACTAGGTTTTAGGGTCAGGATCCGACTCGGTTGGTTCGGCCGCCGCCGCCGAGGCTGCTCCGCACCTCCCTGGCCGCCGCTCTCAAGCCCGCTCCAATGAGTAGCTGGTTGAGACCCGCCTCTAGCCCAGCGCCTGCTCGGAGACGTTGCTCAGGCAGCCATTATCTTCCCCATTGTTACCAAGCAGCGACAGGAAACGACTGCCCACAACAGGAAGTGATGATGCCGCGTCCCGGCACCGCAGCCCCACTCCCAGCCTATTAGCCAATCCCAGTCGATTCCTCGAAAAGGCTCCGCGGGAGGAGGAGGGGGACGGCAGACGACGCGGCGGTTTGGAAAAGGAAAGCTGTTATGACGCCCACCATGTGACAGGCCCCACCCTCCTCCGCCATTTTGAATTGTGGCGAGAAATTTGCGTTGTGAGAATTGTGGGAACCTTCGCTTTCCCATTTTGAAAACTGAAGGACGTCACGGTCTGACTGCTTGAAGACATTTTCAGAGAGTGAGAAGTGTGATATTAGTCTAACCTGACATCACATCAGTTCACACAATCCGTCCAGACCAATTCATACAGTAGCCTACGTTTTATTCAACATGTATTTACTGAATGCCAACTGTATGTCAAACGCCATTGTAGCTGCTTAGGAAATTAAAATAGACCAAAATTTAGAAAGAAAACAGGCCGGGCGCGGTGGCTCACGCCTGTAATCCTAGCACTTTGGGAGGCTGAAGCGGGCGGATCACCTGAGGTCAGGAGTGCGAGACCAGCCTGGCCAACACGGCGAAACCCAGTCTCTACTGAAAATACCGAAAGTAGCCGTGGTGGCGGGCGCCTGTAATCCCTGCTACTCGGGAGGCTGAGGCAGGAGAATAGCTTGACCCCAGGAGGTGGAGGTTGCAGTGAGCCAAGATCACGCCACTGCACTCCAGTCTGGGTAGCGAGCAAGGCTCTGTCTCAAAAAAAAAAAAAAAAAAAAAAAAGGAAATATCAAAAAATCAAAAAAAAAAAAAAAAAAAAAAAGGAAATATCAAAATCCCAATTCTTGAGTCTTTATAATTTACTGGGGGCCGGGGACAATAATTTAGAAACAAATATATATACATATATATATACACACACACAAATAAATAAATATATATATATATCATGTTAGTGGTAAATACCAAGGAGAAAAATCAAGGAGAAGGGGGACAGAAGAGTTCCTTCAAGGGGCAAACGGATTCGCGATGTTTAAAAGACTGATAATTTAGAGGCGGTAACTCTAAAGTATTCGAAAAAGGGCGGTGATTGTAAAAGGGTGGGAAAATCTGATAACGTTGGAATTTGTAAAAGGGCAGTTAAAGAAGGCCTTTCTTCGGTAGTAATGCCTGAAAGAATTGAGGGAACGCGCCACACACCATGCCACTCCCATTGTCACAGTTAAAGGAAAACCTTACCCAAGTTTTTAGGTTCTTTTCCTTTTCCCCATTTTTCTGTTTTCCAATAGCATGCCAGCTATGCTGGCTTTCTTACTGTTTTTCCAGCAAAGCTAACTTCTTCCTACCTCAACTACTTTACCTTTGCTGGAATATTTATTTTCATATCTTTGCTTTCATCATCCAAGCCTCACAATTATTACCTTCCTAGAGAAGCCTTCCCTGACCACCCTACATAAAATAACTTCTTCCTGAAGGCGGAAAAGGGTCTGAGGAAAAAAAAAGAAAAAAGGAATAACGATTTCTCCCATCTCCTTACCTGCTTACTTTTCTTGTAAAACACTTAATCTGAAAGTATGTTATTTATTTGTTTACTTCACCCTTTCTGAGAAGTAAACCTCTCTGTTTTGTTCACTGTTGTGTCCCCAGCGACCACATAGTAAGCCCTCAAAATACTTTGGGAGAATTACCCCCTCAGCTTGATGGATGTTATATCAGCCTGGAATATAAGTATTTCACTCCAAGCAGTTAAAACAATATCCCTCATACTTACCTGCCCAACTCCCTAGAAGACTCGTTGATATTGTCATTTTTGGCAGAGGGATACATGATTTAGGTGCTGTGTATCTACTCAGATTATTGCCTTATTTTACATAATCATGTACTAGAACGTTTACCTAGAACGTGTAAAATGAATTCTTCAGTAGCCTGCAATTGCTATTAAGCCTGATATTCTGATTATGGCAATAACATTAGCCACTCCTTAACGTATTCTTGAGGCTTATGTGGCTTAATGTAAAATATAAAATCACAAAAGAAGTGGAATAAAATATAGGTTACTATTTATGTTTCCTTCCTTCCTCCCTCCCTCCCTCCCTCCCTCCCTTCCTTCCTTCCTTTCTTTTCTTTTCTTTCTTTCTTTTTTTTTTTTTTTTTTGGAGTCTTGCTTTGTTGCCCAGGCTGGAGTGCAGTGGCATGATTTTAGCTCACTGCAACCTCCCTCTCCTGGGTTCAAGCGATTCTCCTGCTTCAGCCTCCCCAGTAACTGGGATTACAGGTGCACACCACCACGGCCGGCTAACTTTTGTATTTTTAGTAGAGACGGGGTTTCACCATGTTGGCCAGCCTGGTCTCAAACTCCTGACTTCATGATCCGCCTGCCTGGGCCTCCCAAAGTGCTGGGATTACAGGCGTGAGACACTACTCCGGCCTAGGTTCATATTTCTATAGCCTTGGGGCTGCAGAAGCACTTTCGAAATACAACACAAAATCCATAATGGGAAAGACTAATAAGTACAACTTCATAAATAAAAGTAAACCTTCTAAATGTCAAAATACAAGGTTAGTAAAGTTAAAAGACAAATGATAAACTGAAAAAAATCATTTCAAAATGACATATTACAGCCAGGGGGTAATATCTTTACTTAATAAAAAGATAAATGAAACACTAGCAAAAATGTTACATATGAAATAAACACATATGGCTAATATTAGCCTATAAAGAGTTGTTAAACATTGATTTTTAAAAAGATAAATACCGGCCGGGTGCGGTGGCTAACGCCTGTAATCCCAGCACTTTGGGAGGCTGAGGCGGGCGGATCACGAGGTCAGGAGATCAAGACCAGCCTGGCCAATGTGGTGAAACCCCGTCTCTACTTAAAAAAGTACAAAAATTAGCTGGGTATGGTGGTGCACGCATAAAGTCCCAGCTACTTGGGAGGCTGAGGCAGAAGAATTGATTGAACCCGGGAGGCGGGGGTTGGAGTGAGCCAAGGTTGTGCCAGTGCACTCCAGCCTGGGCAGACTTTGGGAGGCTGAGGCGGGCGATCACGAGGTCAGGAGATCACACCAGCCTGGCCAATGTGGTGAAACCCCGTCTCTACTTAAAAAGCATAAAAAATTGGGGCTGGGTATGGTGGTGCACGCATAAAGTCCCAGCTACTTGAGAGGTTGAGGCAGAAGAATTGATTGAACCCGGGAGGCGGGGGGGTTGAGTGAGCTGTTGCCAGCCAGTGCACTCCAGCCTGGGCAGCAGCAAGACTGCATCTCGGAAGGAGGGGGTGGAAGGGAGCCAAGGTTGTCCCATTCCCCCCAACCTCGGGAAAAAAAAAAAATGAAATAAAAAAAAAAAAAAAAAAAAAAAAAAAAGATAACTACTTCCATTTCAAAATGTGCAAAGAACATGAATGGGTAATTCATAAAAGGATAAAACACGTGACTGATAAGCATATGACAATATATTCTTTTTTTCTTGTTAGTAAATAACCTTGTACTTGATGAAAATATATTCAGCCTCACTAGTAATTAATCAAAAATAAAAATAAAAACAAGTAAGTACAACTGTTATGTATCCACAATAATTAAAAAACAACTGCTGGACTCGGTGGCTCATGCCTGAAATCCCAGCACTTTGGGAGGCTGAGGTGGGTGGATTGCCTGAGGTCAGGAGTTTGAGACCAGCCTGGCCAACATGGTGAAACCCCGTCTCTACTAAAACTTCAGAAAAAAAATTAGCTGGGCATGGTAGCAGGCACCTATAATCCCAGCTACTTGGGAGGCTGAGGCAGGAAAATCCCTTGAACCCGGGAGGGGGAGGTTGCAGCAAGCCAAGATTGCGCCATTGCACTCCAGCCTGGGCAACAAGAGTGAAAATCTGTCTCAGAAAAACCAAACCAAAACAAAAAAATTTAATGAACTAACAAATTTTTTAAAAATTCCTTTTTTTTTGCCTATCAGAATGTCAAGGATAAAAAAATTGATAATATTAATTGTTGATGAAGATCCTATGAAATGGGCGCATTTGTATCGCCAGTGGGACAAATTGATATCAGTTGTCTTTTTTTTTTTTTTTTTTTTTGACAGAGTCTCACTCTGTCTCCCAGGCTGGAATGCAGTGGCCGAATCTCGGCTCACTGCAAGCTCCGCCTCCCGGGTTTACGCCATTCTCCTGCCTCAGCCTCCCGAGTAGCTGGGACTACAGGCGTCTGCCACCTCGCCCGGCTAGTTTTTTGTATTTTTTAGTAGAGACGGGGTTTCACCATGTTAGCCAGGATGGTCTCGATCTTCTGACCTCGTGATCCGCCCGTCTCGGCCTCCCAAAGTGCTGGGATTACAGGCTTGAGCCACCGCGCCCGGCCCAGTATCAGTTTTCTTAAGGCAATTTGGTAATGTGTTTCAAAAGGCTCATATTCATAGTATTTGAGCAACACGTCCAGGTACAGAAATTTATTTTAAGGAAAGAAGTGGACAAATTTGCAAATATGTATGTAACGAATGTGCAAAGATGCTAATTACAGTGTGGTTTATAACATCGAAATATTGACAAATCAGAAAAAATAACAATTCAACAATAATTAGTTACAGTATAACCACATAATAGACTACTATGTCGGCATTAAAAATGAGTACCTGAGCTGTAAATAGGTTCAGGTTACTTTTTTTGTGTGTGTGTGAGATGGAGTCTCACTCTGTCAGCCAGGCTGGAGTGCAGTGGTGCAATCTCAGCTAAGTGCAACCTCCACCTCCTGGTTTCAAGCGATTCTCCCGCCTCAGTCTCCTGAGTAGCTGGGACAACAGGCTCGTGCCACCACGCCCAGCTAATTTTTGTATTTTGAGTAGAGACGAGGTTTCACTATGTTGGCCTGGCTGGTCTCCAGCTTTTGACCTCAAGTGATCCACCCGCCTCTGCCTTCCAAAGTGCGGGGATTCCAGGCATGAGCCACTGCTCGGCCCATTTTTATGTTCTCTACCTCTTTCAGTATTGTCTTCAACATTTTACAATGTGCAT